TGACCACAAAAGTCTAGTTTAGGGTTTCAGATGATGTTCAGAATTCAGTAAATATGACGAAGGAATGTACAGCTGTTGTTATATTTACTAGCATAATGAGGATCTAATGCACAGCTTTCTTACGTGTCAGGAAGCAGTCTAGCTGCCATACAGAATGAGTACGAGTAATTTGTTAGTCAAGTATCTGTGAAATTTGCATACTTTAATTACTGTATTTACTTTTAATAAAATCAGGACTAGAGAAGAGTTTGAAACACAGCAATTCATATACAGCTTTCCTGTGTTTGTGACGTTTGGAGAGTCATGTGGATGTATATCATCAGTGAAATTATTAGAAAAGTCTCACCAATGACCACCACAACTGAAAAACATACTGAACCTTTCAGGCAAAACCAGCCTGATTGTCTATTCAGGTGTTATCTACGTTTCGTTGCTGATCCCTCCCAGGTGACTCAGAGTCTCACTCTGCACGTCACTGAGTTGAAGCTTGGCACGCTCATGTTGGAGGAGGGCGCTCTTTCACCCCTCACTCTTGTTCCAACGAGATGAAGTTAGTGTGTTTTCATGTTAGTGCTGTGGTCTAGTTCCATATTCTGTTTAGTGATATGATAATGAGCCTAATGCTAAGATGTTCTGTGACCACTGCACATCCTGCTTTATTTTCACTGGTGTCTGGGTTGTGTGACGCCGAATCATCCACAAAGACCTTCAGAATAAAGTCACACCTGTTTCTACGTCACTGAGGGACTAGGCAGGGTTGCTGTTTGTCCCCCCTGCTCTTTGCTTTAGCTATGTAAAGCACTTTGAATCACCTTGTTGTTGAATTGTGCTATATAAATAAACCTGCCTTGCCTATGGAGCCTCTGGCCATTACAGTTAGGAACAACTCTGACATTGTAGGCATATCCAGTGGTCCTGTTGAGTCCATCATCACTTTACTTGCAGATGATGTGGCCCTGACACTGTCAGATGCCAGGCTCTCTTTGCCTCCCCTGCTTCGCCTCATCAATAAATTTGGGCAACTTTCTGGCTACTATTTAAATTGAACTTTCAGGACCTGGTTGATAGTATTAAAGCTAAGATAGATAATTGGACACTTCTCCCATTTTCTTTAATTAGATGTTTCAATATAATTAAAATAGTTGTACTTCCTAAATGTATTCATCTCTTCCAAAACATTCACATCTTTCTTACTTTTTTTTCAAACTATTGACTCTATCATTGTCTTTCTTCTGAGCAAATAAATCCCATAGAGTTGTGAAGGCACACTTGCAGAAACCCACCTCTGAGGGCGGATTAGGCCTCCCAGTTTTCAGGCACTATTTATGGGTTTGCAACGCCAGAACGTGGGTTTTCTGGAATAATGTTTTAGCTGTTCCTGCTGCTCAGATGGTCAGAATGAGTTCTTCACACTATTAAGGACCTCTACAGTGACATTTGTTTTGCTTCATTTGCTCAGCTGCAATCAAAATGTATGCTTCCCTCTGCTCATTTATTTCGATACTTACAAATCAGGTATTTTGTTAAACACTCTTTCTCCCATCTGGACCAGCGCCCTGCTCATAGTGAGTTCTGTGATACTTTGATTACAAAATCCTGCTTCCAAACACCTAATCAGCCAGTTTACTAGACTTTTTACACTTACAGCACCTACATACCACATCAAGGATGCTTGGGTTTAGGACATGGAAGTAGAGATATCAGATGCTTTATGGGCCAATGGGTTGAAGAGGA